TTTTGTGGTGTTGGTTGAAAGGCTTCCCAATTTGCTGTGGTTCGCAGTCTTCGCCAGGCATGGCCGTGACAGCACAGCTGGTGCGGGACTCAGACTCCGGATGGCATGCGCAAGCCATCCGGCTTGCAAGATCTTGCGAGTCGCGAAGGTTTGTTAGGCAGAGCATCAGTGGACATGTAGGTTGGATGGATCCCGATAGTTCGCTTGCTCGTTTGTAAGAAATTGAAAAGGCTTCGGGTTGGACGGAAAAAATTCTCGGTTGCATGACCTGCCCGAGTCGGCTCAAGCATATGTGTTGCCTCAAGACCGCACTATGCAAGATGCATTGTGGGAGGTGGCTCCTGAAGCCGGTGTAGTCGCATCAGCTGGCGTGGTTGGAGGTTCATTGCTCAAACTATTCGATTCCTTTGGGTCTGTGGCCACAGGCATATCCGGTGCTGCAGTTGGTGCCGTGTCCGCCACAGCTGGTGCTCTGGCAGCCAAGGCTTTGACAGACCGAAATGAGCGCGAAACCATTGAAAAGCGTTTGTTTGAGGTAAGACGACATGCCCCGCAAAGCAGTCCTCTGTCCTTGGAGCCTTTGTTGGCTGTCCGGCAAATGTTTGAAGCCATCGATTGGTGTTTGGCGAACGAGGAGAGGCATTGGACACGCCAAGGTCCGGCATCACTGGCTTTCAGTTGCTTGTCAGGAGAAGCGACACTCGGCGGTTTTTCGAAGAATGCAAGCGCATCCGCAGACAAGGATTATCGCAAGCACTTGAAGAAGGTGCGCGGTTTGTGTTCTCCAACGCCACTGCGTGGCCAAGCTCGTGGAAGGCCGCAGCAGAACAAGAAGGATGGAGCCAGAGGCATCGAGACTGAAGCCGGGATGATTTCAGGACTATCTGTGCCAGGAAGCAGCCAAGCTTATGAGCGTCTCTTCAACCCACAGTGGGGCACCGTTCGAAGCAAGCAAGGGGTCTGCGCCGCCTTGGCATACCTGGTCAGCCAGTTTCTCGAGTTAAGGCATTGTCCGAAAGGAAGTTTGCTTGATGGTGAGAGGAGCTCGCTCAGACTAGCCGTGACGTCTTTGGCGCGACATCATATATTCGACGAAGAAGACAAAGCAGCACACGCTCTGAGAGTCACACGCCTCCTTCGTCCGAGTGGAACCGCTGCAGAGCCCGACGAGATTGAGGAAGCAGAAGAGAAGCGGTGGAAGACCCAGCCCGACCAGGAACAGGAGCAGCGTGGCAGCAAGTATTGAAAGTGCTAGACAGACTCGTTCTGATGTCAGGTGTGTTTTGCGAACTGTTCATGCCTGCGAACCGGCTAGGTTCCGTGCCGCAGCCGTGGCCTTGCTTTGCCTTTTGGACGCAGCGTTGGCCTGGCGGCCATCTGATCCGCTAGGGTGGATGGGCCAGGCAGAGGATGCAGAGGGTGCAGTTCTGGCTCGCGAGATACTTGCAACCCAATGAATCCGTGAGATGGTGTTTAAAATTGAAGGAGCATCATGATTGATGCCGTGAAGCACCTAAGCGGTTTGGATGTTGGTTGGAAAGAGCGAGTTTGATACTTCGCCATGCTGAATTGTACCGTAGTGTCCGGTTCGCATCTACTCTCAAGTCTCGGACCCAAGCACTTCTTTACTTCAAGGCCAGCCCGAAGCTCAGAGCAATGCACAGAAGACAGAACTGCACTTGTAAGTTGTGGCAAGAAGCAGAAGCAGTCAATGGAAGCACACCCGGCGACCGAAGTTGACGCGGAGCTACCAACGGGTATGAAACTTCGCAGCCTGATACCGCTTGATGGAGAGAGGGAGAGAGAGAGAGAGAGAGAGAGAGAGAGGAACAGGCAATCCCGTTTATTGCCTTGCTACCAACTTTTTGTTTGTTATGTTCCTGGAAACACAAACTGGTAATCGTTAGATGTTCCGATTGCTTGTCTACATGCATGCAGCTGTGCATAACCAAGGAAAGGTGTCTGTTCCTTTCCGATCTTTGCCAGCAAGGTCCGCAGATGTCTTAAGAAGGCGAGCTCCGGCTGCTCGATTACGTGGCGTCGGTTGGAGGTGCACCTGGATGCCGTCAGGAGCTGAAGGGAAGAGCCGCAAGAACTTCGATAAGTAGCGTTTTAGAGGTGCAGCCTGCAGCCTGCAGGACCAGAGCTCTTCCAGAACCTTGGCCTTGGATTTGGGTTCTGAACGAGGAGGCAGGTGAAACGGAGTGGAGATAGTAAGCCGCAAAGCTTGCATAGCGATTCATTCACAAAGACGGTTCCTCGAGGCGTCTATGCTTGTGCGGAACCGGACAAAAGTGCCACTCCGCGTTGAGCTTCATCGACCGAAGGGCGTGCAGCTCTCACCCTTGGCAGATTTGCCGCTGTTGAAGCCGGTCCTGCAGTGGCTTCGCGGCAAAGCAGCACCAATTCTAGCAGCTGACGTCAAACCCGGAATCGAGTGGGCCCTGCGGCCCAAGGCGAAAGAAGGGCGTGACTTCAGAGTCAAGTTGCTAACCGCTGCCGGCGTGCTTGTTTGTACCCGGCCTCTTCGCCGTGGGCAATCCTTTGATTTTCACGTGCCTGTCCCACCGCCTCCTGCACAACTGCGAGTGGCCGCTCTCGCATCGAAGCGGGAAAGCTTGGAAGCTGGACCAGTCTGCCGGATCAAGGTCATGGACGAGGCGGCCAAGGCCTTCGGTGTCAAGGAGCACGATGAAGATCACGATGGTTCTGTGTGCTCGACGGCGGCTCCCTCCTTTTCCTCGGGACGTGTAAGCTTTGCCAGCACCTCAGCGTCCAGCACTTTGCCTCCCAGCGGAAGCGGCTTGGAATGTCTTGGCATTTGCTTGGCGGCTGGTGTTGCTGCCGAGTCGCTTTCTCCCCACTTCATTAATTCCATAGCCGCTCTATTCTACAAGCATTATGCACACGATCGTTCTAGACATAGTTAAGTGCTCGAGGTTAATATGTGCAACAGTGAATAACAAAGTGGAGCAGGATGCGGACCAGCAGCACCGCCGCTGCCACAACGACCACGACCCACCAACAACTACCACCACAGCGACAACAGCAAGAAGAAGAGCGGTGCGAAGACACACTAGCACCATCACTAGCAATTGCATCAGCAGCAATTGCAATAACAAGAACAAGAAGAACGACAAGCAATAATGGCAGCAACAGCGGTAAGCATAAGAAACTGACGACGACCACAACAGCCCCTGCAACCACCACTAGCACCAACACCACCACCACCAACAACAGCAACTGCAATCGCAACCGCAACAGCAATAGCAAAGAGCCGCCTCGGCGACGGTACCGAGAATGGTTCCAGCGCGGCATGCCACACCAGACTGCAGAGAGGGGGGCGAGGCCCAAACTCTTGAACAACCTATAACTAAGCCGAGGAAATGAAGGGACCATCCAGTGGACCCCTCAAAAATAACGCAAAATAAACCAACAAATCGAAAACAATGTCCCGATTTGTGGTCGGATGGCCTGGGAGGGGGGTAAGGGGGGAAGTCAATCATACTGTTTCATGGTCCCATGGAGCCAGATCACGACCCTAAGCATCCGGCCTTTAGTTCCATTCCGGCGAATCAGGCCTGGCCATGCCGGGCGCCAGAACACGAGTCAGGTCTGCGCAGGAAGAGATGCAAGCCAAGCTGGAAGACAGAAGACGCAAAATCGAGGGACTACCCCCTGTCCTTTCATGTGCAGAGGACGAGGCACCTGCAGAAGTCAACGAAGGTGACGCAGGTGGCCCCGCAGGAAAGCAAAAAGCAGATGCTCCAGCACCAGCTGTTGCAGGAGAGTTTGCGAGCAGTTTTCGCTACAGTAGGTTTGATTCCAGCTGACGTTGTGTTGCTCTGTGCTGTGTGTTGTGAGGACTTCTCACTGCCATTGAGGGCTTTCGCTCCTGCCTGTGCCCTCGCTGCCTGCATTCCATGCCGTTGAGACGACACCGACCGCGGGCCGCCATCTATGAGGGAGGTGTAAGCTGCGACCGATGCAGGAGAGAGCTCTTGGGCCAGGCACAAGGAACAGTCGCAAGTTTCAAGCCTTCCTCCGAAATCTTCTGGCCTCGCATGGCCTCGCCAAGTACGAACTAATGCTGTGTGTCTGCTCCGTGATGTGGGTCTTTTGCAGAAGAAGCTTCCCTGCCAGGTGGAAGTGCAAGAGGTCGAACTCGAGCCTCGGGACGCGTTCTGCCACTGCAGCCGCTGCTGGTTCGATCTATGCAGAAGCTGTGCATACAAGGAGCCTACTTTTGTTTTGTAAAGGTGTCTTTGGCAAGTGCAGTGTAGCTGACACCCGCACTGCTACTTCGATACCTTGGAGGAGATGCAGGAGGTCTGGTGGGGGGAAGATTGACTGAAGGTGCTGGCCGTTGAAAGAGCTTCGCATGACAGCAAGCGTTTCACAAACGAACCGTGTGTCAGTTGCAGAAGGCGACATGTCCCCTGGGAGAGAAAGACACGGCTCAATCTCGATGTGGCCAGAGACCTCTGGTCTGCGAGATTGCTTGTGAGATTCTTACTATTGTTCTACCTGTCACTGATTCTGGCCAAGGCTCTCTGCCAACGCTCCATAAGGTTCCATTGAGAGCTGCACAGAGCCCGTCGTGACAAGCAGCTGTCTGAAGTGAGGATCCGCCGACCGAGAGAGCAGCAGTCTTTCCTTCCCTGATAGAAACCCTGCTATGAAAACTTTCTTGTTTGAGGGAGCTGTCATGCTTGGGTGCCGCAGCCACAGGCAGAGCCTTGGTGACAGAAATCGTGAGGGAGTCACAGTTTCTGTCTGATTCTGGGCTGTCTGACTAGCGGCGAGCACCAACTCAATCTTGTTCCTAGCCCATGCCGTGTGATACGCCACAGCCTTGGCCGGGCCCAGGACCTAAGCACGTGGTCCTGAACTCCGTTGGATACGAGGCCTTGCGCCCAACCGGCCAGACACTGCTTCGACAAGCCGCCCCCCAAGCTTAGTGGAAGCAAAACGCAGGTCTTGGCTCAAGCATTGCCGCCATGGCCTTTACACTATCGTTGCATGGAGTGCCAGTGGCTACCTCCCTTTCAACCGGATCCTGGACGCAGAAGAGTTACAGGAAGGACCAGGAGAGTGCCCGGGACTAAACGAAGGATTTGCTGGACTTGGAAGGTTTGCTCATGTTATGTAAGTATCTTGAACAACCGTCAGGCGCGTGGATTAAGCTTGGGGTGAGCGGCATCGAGTCGTGGGATTCGGGTTGTCTTGTGCAAGTTGCATTCCAGGCAGCCGTTCAGTTTTGACTGCAGCGGCCTTTGCAGCAGCAGCTGCTGCTGCTCATCCAGGACACTTTCTGCAACTTATGCCTGTAGCTCGTTCCTCACGAATGACAGTCCAGCCCAGCGCCCTCGTGACCATGTGCCGTCTCCTTTGGGACCCCGCTCGTGAGGTTGGTGCTGGGCCTCCGCGGCTTGTGGCTCGCGTGCAGCACCTCGATCCAGACTCAGGATGCATGTGGTGGAGATTGTCGATGCCGAGATCATCAGCCACCGAGCACGAACAGTAAGGACGGCAAGCTGCGACTAGGGCCTAGGATTTGATCCACAATGAGTCAGTGCTTCTGGCATTTTCCAGAAATGCCTTTAGCATCCTGGTCTCAGGCGAGGTGCCGGCTTCCGACGGGAATGGACAAGATGAGCCTCAACCTAATCCTGCAGATGCAGAGGCTGCTGCAGCCGTGATCGATGCCGTGCCTGGTGCAGCACTGATGCCAGTCCCGGTCCCAAGCGGTCATCGTTTTGTTAACTTACTTGAGAACCTTTACTTCGCGCCCCGGCGGGAAGCCACGAGCCGAGGTGCTGCAGCTGGTGGAAGCTTGGCTCAATCCACGCATGACCCGCGCAGCAACCGCAGCCACAGACCTTGCAAACATCCGTCAGGAGAAGAGCGGCGTACCAGTTCGCAACCAAGTGATGGAATACAAGGTTCTATGCAGCCGAAAGCCAAGTGTCATCACACCCACCGTGTAAAGCTGCTCCGGATTGTTTTGCCTTCCCGGAAGCATGTTGTCGGACAGAGCTGTGGCAGGTGAGATTCGCAATTTTCTTTCAAGATGTTGCAAAATAATACTGAAATCGACGTCTGCAGTCGTGCTCGTGCCTGTGTAACATCTGCTTTTAAAGCACTTTCCCTGCATCCGGGTGCCCGTTAACATCCGGGTGCCTGGTCTTTGGTTTGAGTAATGATGATGACTTTGCCTGAATCCCAGCTGGATGTTGCCAGCGTTGCCTTCAAAGTGACTGAGTGTGTTACCACTGAGGGACTAAATATTCATTGGACAGATTGATTCTGATTCAGATCTGAGATCTGCCGAACCAAGACGACTGGATTTCTCACATCCCCGCACGGGGCTCTGTGAGTCGTGCAAGGAAAAAAAAAACCTAATCCCTTATAAAGTAATACCTGCCCTAAACCACGGCTCAACGCCAAGTGTTTGCTTTCGCCAACTGAAAACACCTTAACCCTAAGGACCCTAAAGCTTGTGACTTCATGATGGCCAGTGATGCTGATCTGACTGGTGGTGGTCCTATTCTACCTGCTACTTGACTTGTTTCATGTACTGACTCATTTGTCATCTAGTCTTAAAGCGTATATATATATATATATATATATATATTATATATTTATATTATGCTTGCCGTGACTTTCGGCCCAAATTTTGCAGCAGCAGTTTTCCTGCGCTGATGGCGGACGGTGTGCCGGAGCTTTTAATTTTCCAGTTCCTGAGACTGGAAAGACGCGAACGCTTGCGTCAAATCGACCAGCTTATGCCGGAGACGCTGGCCCTCCTCCTGTACGATCTGAGCAGGATCCAGCTGGAGCGATTCGCCATTCAGCACATGCGGGCCGCGGCCTCAGTTTGTTTTGGGTTGTCGCCGCAGCTCACAGCCATGCTTGTGAGGAACAGTGGGAGCGGGAGCACCAGGAGGAGCAAGAGGAGATGGTGGAAGTTTTGGTGGAGGCCCGCTGCCTCTTTCCCAATTACCATTCCACTTTCCTTCTGCTGCAGGAAGGAGGTGAGAGGGAGGAGATGGTGGAAGTTTTCGTGGAGGCCCGCTGCCTCTTTCCCAATTACCATTCCACTATTATTTTTCCTTCTGCTGCAGGAAGGAGGTGAAAGGGAGGAGATGGTGGAAGTTTTCGTGGAGGCCCGCTGCGGTTTTCCCAATTACCATTCCACTTTCAATCCTTCTGCTGCAGGAAAAAGGTCACAGGGCCAGGGGCCGCAGCCGTAGCCCTCGTCGATGAGCTATGGGGTCTGTGGGACTGCCCCTGAGACGCACGGGATCAGATCAGACACACCAAACCGCAGACATGTGAGGGATGAGAGTCCTCTTGAGCCGCCAGCCTGACGACTTCTGCCCCCAGATGAAAAGTCTTGCGAGCTTTGCGTTGCTGGTTGCGTTGCGGGGTGTCCTGGCAGCCAGCAAGCCCGGGTTCAAAAAAAAAAAAGGGCTCATTCAGTTTGCAGGGTGTGAGGCCTTTCGTCGGAGAGTGAATCGCAGGCATGTCAGCCGGCTCTTTTAGTGGCTTTCCGGTCAGTCCGAACTTAGACTGGCAGTCCATTCAGACTGAGAGTGAAGCTGACACCATTATGTGCGTTTTAAACATATCATCATGAATAATATAATAATAATAATACTAGACCGACAGCCAGTCTCAGAGTGAAGCTGACGATGCCGTCGTTTGCGGTCGTGGACCAGCTGAGCGAGGATGAGGAGGAACAGCCTGGAGCTCAACACAGGGAGCTCGGTTAAAATCATGCCATGCTCAGCCTTGGACCTATCATTCTCAGGGGTCTGAAGAATGATATTCCGAAGCCAGCTACCAGGCCTTGTTCTATTTATCCAAAACCCCAGCCCTGTCGCAGCGCTTGAATCAGGACTACGAAGAAGCCCTCCGTGAGCCCAGGTACCAGGCCTCGTTCTCAGTAAAGCAATCCAAACAACACCAGCCCTGTCGCAGCGCTCTACTCAGGACTACGAAGAAGCCATCCGTGAGCCCAGGTACCAAGTCTCGTTCTCAGTAGCAAGTCCAAGCAACCCCAGCCCTGTCGCAGCGCCTGAATCAGGAGTATGAAGATGCCATCCACGAGCCCAGGTAGCAGGCCTCGTTCTCAGTTTCAAACAACCCCAGCCCTGTCACAGCGCCTGAATCAGGAGTATGAAGATGCCATCCGCGAGCCCAGGTAGCAGGCCTCGTTCTCAGTTTCAAACAACCCCAGCCCTGTCGCAGCGCCTGAATCAGGAGTATGAAGTTGCCATCCGCGAGCCCAGGTAGCAGGCCTCGTTCTCAGTTTCAAATAATCCCCAGTCCTTTCGCAGCGCCTGAATCAGGAGTATGAAGAAGCCATCCGCTAGTCGAGCGCTCACGGTTCAGAAAACAGTTCTGAAGGTCCATGTCTCAGTCAGTCTCAGCTTTCATGTTATATTCCATCGCTCCAGCAAACACTGAATCCGTGCTCAGGCGTGCAAGCTGCGTCCACTTGCACAGCAGAAGCGAAAGAAGAATGATGTGAAAGCTCTGCCCGGACTTGCCAGTGTGTCGCTTCTGAACAAGAGGTTCCTTTCAGTCACGCCCTTCCGGGCGGACTTGGCGACGGCAAAGCCCTTGGGCTGGCAAGTGGTGTGCGCCTGAGTGAGCACGATGATGATGTTGCAATGCTTGCATGTGCGTGTGGCCAGGTCGTGGACCAGCCAAAGAACATGGTGAAAGCGAGCGGTGCCAAGGTCTTCAGTGGAACCAGGGTACTGAAGCATTGGTCCACCATAAGCACATACCTCAGAAGCAGAGTGCCTGAAATTCGTGTTGTCCCACTCGATTCACTGAGCTCAGGATGCTTCCAGTCGACGACAAGAGTCACCAGCGGCCTGGTGAGTGAGCGTGGCATCACAGCCGAGTTCTCAGCATGCCTTTATGCTGCCATCATCATGGTGAACGGTGTTGGGTCTGCTCTGATGAGGACCTTGCGAATCAGATCCGGTACTCCCTTCAGTACCAGGAGGCCATCAAGGCCTCCGGACGAGCTCCGGGCCAGTACCTGAGTGCAGCGACCGGGGAGTGGATGTCAGGCCGGACACATTCAGTGAAGGGATTCACACCTGCAGCTATCACGTTTCCTTGTAGGCCTGCCGTTGAACTGGACATTGCCGGTGCAGAACGTTGTCTCGCGCAAGAACTGCCTCGCCATGTTCCCACACTTACTGGAGACGGACCGGTGCCATTTGTTATGTGAGCCTTAACCGCATCCCCTAAACCCCACAGCTCATTCCTGAACATTGTAGGGCCTGATCCCTATACCCCTGACCCTGAGCGATCTGCCGAATCTACTACCTTGGAGTCCGAATGTCCTTGCTGCTTCAACTTGGATTCCAAGGAGAGGTTTCGCAGACAGGCACAGTCACTTTATGTGTTGATAGTCTTTGTTGCTGAAACGTAGTGACGAAGCCTCTTAGTGTCGTTTCACATTGCAGACTCGAACTCATATTCCTCGCCTGGTTTGTCCGAGTGTGAGCGCCGAAACCCCACAGCCCCCACGGCAGACCCTAAATCGCACGACAACATCATCATCACCGTGCAGGAGGGAAAACTTCCTGTGATATCGCTCTTCACAGGGCTGGCGGGGCTCGACCTGGGCCTTTCCAAGCCGATGGCCCAGTCAGTGTCAGTTTGATGCCGGATTGAGGATGTTGCTGGCTTGTGTCATGCGGCCACCTTCCGGACAGCTCAGACTCAGTCAACAACGTTTTCAGCAGCATCATGCCATGAAGTGTAGTGTTCAAGTACTTCGTAGTTGGTCATAGGTCCAGGTGTAGCACTTAGTTGGTGGCTTGTCATTGTCAGTTTTCTGGTCAGTTACAGACACAGGACTTGCCAATATAAAGTCTTCTTGTCAGTTGTTTGCTCAGCATGAAATCAGCCGATTCCGATGTCGCAGCTGAGCAGCTGGGCACTGTGCGCATGGTGGGCATCAATCAATGCAAGACACGCAGCGTCAATTTTTGCATCATGATTTCATGATCATCACAGTGACAAATTAAATGTTCACTTGGCCGGCATCCTCTCTGAATTGTTGTTCTCAGGATTCCTGTGGGCACCTTTGTCATGACGAAGTGGCATGGCTCGTCGTGTGGCGCTCAAACTGACTGAGTCGACAGACCTTGGAAGAGGTTGTATCTTTGAGTAGTTTTTCAATTCAATGTCAAGTTGGAGGTACCAATGGTGCTGGACGTCCAAAACGTGGCTGAAAGCAGAGGACGTTTGTGTTTTGGGTTGGTTTATGTTGAAAGCATCGAACTTCTAAGAGGGCTCCTGCTGCAGGACGGCTGTTATCCCGAGGAAGCGACAGAATCTGCGAGGCATGTTTCCCAGGCAGTTTAACTTTCAGTCAACATTGGCATCGGATGATCCTTTGCAGGATTGCAGCAGCAGTCGCTTTGCGCCGACCTGCGGAGGAAAGGCCGGGAATTTTCACTTCATGGTGCTTGGGTGTTTCAACTAGTAGTACTAGTCTTAGTATGAGTGTGCATGGCAGCTGCTGCATGCTCAAGCCTAGTTGCCACGCTGAAGGCGTTGCAGCCATGGACTCCATATACTGCGGCGGTCTGGAGAGCTGCAACAAGCTCTGGTGGCTGCTCGTTCACTTCGCTGCGACCTGGGGGCCCCAATTCGAGGGCGAGATGGACCGCTTCCACACCACGGATGATGGCTACTACAAGGACCGCCGCAATGCAATGCATTTGAAGTTCCACGGGGAAGTGGAGGCGGTGCTCCCAGGGTCATCTCGCTGGGGCGTATTCACACCGGCCGCGGTCGTGCGTCTTTTGGCACCAGCCTGGTGGCGCAGAGTCGGCTTCAGCCAGGACGTGTCGCACCGCTTTTTGGAGTGTTGGCTGTACAAGCAATTTCCACTCCGAGGCCAGATGTTCGAGGACGTCGTGGAGATTCTGCACTGCTTTTGCGAGATGGT